AATTAACAAGAAAATGATACCTTATTCTTTTGCATAATCATGCAATGAAAATAAAAATTACATAAACGGATGATCAAACTTGATATTATTTAATAAAAATGTAATTTTTCCAAAATATCGTAAAGAAAAATCGAGACATTTTCACACTCGTTTTGCTATATCGTAAACTAAGTCGAAACTACTTAGTAGAAGTCTGAAATGCGACTATGAATAGAGGTACGTAAATTTTAAGTTGGTACTTAAATTTAAGTTGCAACTTTGTTAGTTTCGACTTAGTTGCTGGACTATGAATACGCGCCAACGTGATGTTCTCAGCTTCAGTGTAATTCCGCGAATGCTTTATTTTCCTCTTCTTAGTATACACATTCTTTTGACACTTACAACTAAATCGCCAATAGATGGCAGTACACTGTTTATCATAACTACACATAACCCAGTATACCACAATACCCCCTACTTATATTAGGACCACGTCCAAATGTTAATCCTAGCTTATATCTAATGGTCTTTTTCCGTAATTCAGATATCTAATCCATTCTTGTTCTTGCTAATTTACAAAATTCGATTAATTTTTTTTTTTTGTAGTTCCATTCATATGTATATTATTCCTTATAATTAATTTTATTACTTTTTCTTAACTCCCTACGGCCCTGTCCTATATCGTCGTCTACCTCCTCCTTTCCACCAGCAGTACCGACCCCAGCCACGTTCGTTGTTTTAGACCCCTCTTTCTCGTTGCCTCCCGTCGTATCTGCCGTGTTCGCTAATGCCGCCTCGTTTGGTTCCGTGACGCCCGGAATGATTTGATCTAGATGCCGAAGTATGGTCTTTTGATTGCGAGTCAATATACAGCGATAATTTCTAGGTCCCTGTTGCTTGTCGATGGTCGCCTTTTGCCAGCCTTTTTTATTGGGATCTGTGTAGTCCCGTACCATGACTTTCTCGCCTTCTAAATGTCTACTTCTGCACCCCCTGTGATTTCTTTGGGCTATACACTGATCCTGGAAAAGCTTCTGCTGGACTAAGGGAGGCTTAAGCAAGCTAAATCTAGTTTTAAGCTCTCTACCTAGTAGTAACTTCGCCGGTGTTTCACCGGTGGCGCAGTGCTTGGTGCTTCTATAGTCAAAAAGGAAGCGGTTGATTAAAATATCTATGTTACACCCCTGCTCCTTTACTAACATAGCTCCTATTGACTTCTTGAACGTTTTCACGAAGTTCTCCGCCTGGCCATTTGTGGCAGGGTGACCAGGTGCAGTTAAAACATGTTTTATGTTGTTGGCTTCTAAGAATATTTTAAATTCCGTGGATGTAAACTGACTACCATTGTCACTTACTAACACATCTACTAGGCCATACCTGCAAAAAACTTCGCGTAAGCGTGAAATAGTAAAGCTAGTGGTAATATCCTTTGTTTTAAAAATCTCTACCCACTTGGAGTACGCATCGATTACTATCAAAAACTGGAAATTGTGCACCGGACCTGCAAAATCCACATGGATTCTGGACCAAGCCCTATCTTCTGGTGCCCAGGGTATGAGTTTACTTTTTGGTGGGCTGGGCTGGCAGAACCTACAAGGTGCGCAGTTAGCGATCATTCGCTCTATATCTTGGTCTATTCGGGGCCACCAAACATATGACCTAGCTAAAGCTTTTGTCTTCACTATGCCAAAGTGAGAGTAGTGAAGCTCGTTTAAAACCTTCGACCGAAGTTTGGTGGGCACAACTACTCTATACCCCCATAATAAGCAATTATATTCTACCGATAGTTCCTTACTCCTGCTTATGAATGGAATGTATTCCTCGCCTTTTAATGCTTGTAGGCTACCGCTATTCAGGGCTTCGCATACCTTCGACAAAATTAAGTCACGCCTTGTCTCCATAGAGACCTTTTTAAAATTCAGATTAAGCTGATTATTAGTACTGATAAACCCAACGTAACCACCTTCTACGCTGTTTCTTACTGATGCTACTTGCGGAAATCTCGAAAGATGGTCTGCGAAGTTTGTAGACCCCTTTATATGCCTGATCGAATAGTTAAACCCTGATAGAATAAATGCCCATCTTTGCAGTCGCGCCGCCGCCATAACAGGTAATCCTTTGTTCTCTCCAAAAATTGCAACTAACGGCTTATGGTCAGTCTGCAACTCGAAATGGTTTCCCAAGAGATACTGTCGGAGTTTTCCCACGCTATATATTATGGCTAACGCTTCCTTCTGTATGGTACTGTAGTTTCTTTCTGCCTGCGTTAAGGCACGTGACACAAATGCGATTGGTCTGTACTCTCCCCCGGCTACCGCTACGTTAGATGCGTCGGTTGATAAAATAATTGGAAGGTTGGCATCAAAACGCACTAAAACAACATCAGACGTAATCTCCTTTTTTAACAAGTCATACGACCCTTGACACGACTTTGTCCACGCAAATTTCACACCTTTTCTCAATAACTCGTACAGGGAATTCATTTTGTGGGCAAAATTGGGTATAAACTTAGCGTAATAATTTGTCATACCTATGAACGCCCGAACTTCTGATACGTTCTTAGGGCAAGGCGCTTCCAGCACCGATGAAATTCTCTCCTTACTTTTTCTTAAGCCATGCTTGTCTATTATAAAACCTAAGTATGCTACTTGTTCCTTGAAAAATTCCGACTTGCCCAGATTTAGCCTTAACCCGACCGCCTTAAGCTTACTTAGTACCGCCTCTAGTGCTTCTAAGTGCGCTTGAACATTAGGACCACCTATGATAATATCATCTAAATAGTTTATTACGTTTGGAATGCCACGTAAAAGATTTTCAATACTCCTTTGAAATATTGCCGCGGCGGGCTTAACCCCAAATGGCAATCTCGTTACCTTAAAAACTCCAAGGTGCGTACTCCAAGCGCACAGTAGCTGTGAACCTTCCTCAATAATCAGCTGATTATAGGCGTTGGATAAATCCAACTTAGTGAAAAGTTCCCCCTTTAAAGTAGCAAATATTTCCTCGATTCGCGGCAACGGGTACTTGACATCGGCTAAAAACTTGTTAATGGTAGATTTATAGTCCCCACATAATCGCAATTCACCGTTTGACTTAAGTATCGGCACCAGCGGCGTCCCCCAGTCAGAGGTTTCTACCTGCACCAAAACACCCTTATTTACCAGCTGATTTATTTGCTGCTCTACCTTTTCTTTCCACGCCAATGGCACCGGCCTTGGCTTACAGAAAATAGGTGTAGGATTTCCTACCAGACTCAATTTGACCGTATGCTCCCGGTATTCGCCTAGTTCTTCCTTAAATACCTCACTAAAGCGCGATTTAATCTGTTCTAGGTGGTTGTTTACTACGGTAATCGAATTAACTCTAGCTAGTCCTATGCCGAATTTAACCATGAAATCGCGACCCACAATACTTGGCCCAGACGTATGACACACTACTACCTTCAGCCTATGCGACTGTCCTTCATACTCAACTAAAGGATGAAACTCACCGACCACGTCAATACTCTCTCCATTATACGCTGTAAATTTATCCGCGCACGGGCTTAGAGTCTCATTCGGGAAGATAGCGTCGACTCTAGTTTTTGGCATGAGCGAACCGGCAGCACCTGTATCCATTACAAAGCTCAGACAAATTCCATTTACCTTAATCTGCATGATAAAAGGGTCAAAAATCGTGCTTGAAGTTGGTACTGAGGTAACGCTATAAATAGATAAATTAGATACCATGTTAGATAGGTCATTACATTGAGTTTCTTGAACATAATTAACGCCTTCTCTTTTCTCCCCTGCCTTAATTCGCTTACCATTGCAAACGCTCGCCAAATGGCCTTTCTTCTTACACTTGTTGCATGTTCTGTTTTTGTACTTGCAGTCTTCGCTTGTATGGTTTTTCCAACCGCAATGGACACACTTCTTGTTATCTCCCTTGCTGCTGTTATTTTTGCTGAACCGACTATTACTTCTACTTTGTTGCTCGCGTTTTGTCACCCAGTTGACCTCACTCAGCTGCTGTTTTGACTTACATCTTTCTTCAACCATCATCGCTCTTCTTATCGCCTCTTACAAAGTTAGTCTTTCGTCCTCCTCACACAATCGTTCGAACGACGGGCCATCTAATCCCGTAACAAATTTATTTAAAACGAAATCGTTCAATTGGCTGCCAAACTTGCAGTCTCTTGCTAAACTTTTTATCCGAGCATACCACTGCGCTACCGACTCAGTCTCGCCTTTCGTGGCCTCGAAAAATTTTCGGCGCTCTCGATATATTACAACGGGTTTTGCATAGTGCCGTTCTAGAAGTGTACATAGCTCGCCATATGTCTTGCTTGCCGGCAACGTGGGGTCACATAGATCACGTAGCAATCCATACGCCTCGAGCCCCACGGCTTTCAACAAAATCGATGTCTTGATTTTCTCCTCGACGCATGATGTTTCAATAAAATGCGAGTCTAAGAGTTCCTTCCAGTTACTCCAATTATCCATGCTGGGTCTGAACTCCCGCACGCCCGTAGTTAAACTTGTGGTGATTAAACTTTCATTCATGGTTTCGTTTACCATGTTTGCTTGTTATTAAGCGTACTCAATTTGGCAATAATCAAACGCGTGACACTGCGTGGAAGTAATACTTCTACAAAATTCTATAGTGTTTTATTTAAAACCTGCAGAGTTCGTATTTTCAGAGCTCGTCGCCACTGTGATGTTCTCAGCTTCAGTGTAATTCCGCGAATGCTTTATTTTCCTCTTCTTAGTATACACATTCTTTTGACACTACAACTACATCGCGAATAGATGGCAGTACACTGTTTATCATAACTACACATAACCCAGTATACCACAATGATAATATGAGCACTCATCCCTACAAGAACAGTGATAGTCATTTGATTGATCATGTGATACTCACTGGTGATGGAGATCTCAGTGAAGTACTTCTATCAATTTTTTAAGAGCAATATGCAAAACGTGATGTAAACATTTGTGTACATGTGATCTTCCGTCTTCCTCCGATTATGGCCTTATTTAGTGGTCTCTTTTTAACCAACGCAAAATTTGCAAATGTGTTAGTAAGATAAATGAGAATGTGTAAAACTATGTTCACATATCAATATAATCTCAATCAAACCTCGCTTTTTAATCACCCCGTTTACACAGGAAAATCTCAGGTTATTAGCCGTCAAATTAGTTGTGCTTGTTATTCTCACATCTCAAGGAAAAGTTATGTTTCTTCTTTGTGCCACCGTGATCACGTTTTTCTGCTATAATAAGCAATATAAATATATTTTAACTTAACATTTTATTAAAAATACCTTTACAAACCTCTTTTATTTCGAGCGTAAATTTTTGTTTACTTTTAGATTTGGAATTTCTCCTCTTTTTCGCAAAAACAATCGATAAAACTAGACACTAGATGGACACCGAAAAGTTATCGGTTAAATCTGAGATTATTTTATAATTACTGAGTAACAAGGGACGAATTTTATATGGCTAATCTCTTGTTATAATTACAGATTAGGGTGTTAAGCTCGAAAATGAGGATAATCTACTATGTGAACCTAGTATTAGTTTCCATCACACAATTCTTTAGGGATGATACTCAGCTGTCTTGTAGGGAAGTCAGCCAGATCGGGCGAGTAGCTACCCAGTAAGAATCTCTCTAGTATCTAATGCGTTATATACGCCTAGTACTACAAAAAGTTTGTGTGAGAAATTCAAAAACTTTGCATCATTTTACATAGGGCTCCTGGAGAAATCTAACGCATAATCGATTGAAGTGTGAGTAGTTTTCTCTTTCTTTCACACGGAATTCGCTATTATACTATACTATATGTAGTTGTCTCTTTTCAATCAAATATTGTTATGCGATTAATAACGTGTTATATAACGTAAAGAATAGCATATGGATATCGCTAATATGCAAATGTGTTGGTTTTTATTGACAATTTTGTAAGTGTATTGGAGAATGCGTTAGGTCGTTGTTGCTGGGTACAAACCGCAACCCAGTAAGAACACTATCTGTTAACTAATGCGTTATATACGCGTAGTACTACAAAAAGTTTGTGTGAATAATTTAAAAACATTCCATCATTTTACATAGGGCTCCTGGAGAAACCTCACGCACTCAGTGCTGTGCATGTGAGCATTTTTCCCTTTCTTGCGCACTACCTTTTACTATGGTATTTTCGTATTGCTATCAAATTCCAATCTGCCATAGCAAAGCGATATAAAACATGTTATTTACGGGAAGAAATTCCGTATTAGTATGGCATAATAATAACGTGTAAATAACATGTTTTATCCATTATACTGAAAAGCTATTATATTGCATAAATAAAAACACGGTTAAATATTTTAAAATAGATTTAAATAGTTTAATTAATTGATAAAAGTTCAAAGGCTTTATTAATCATTTAAATTTATAATTGAATTGTGTTATAAATTACTGGATGAAATTAAATTTTGGGTTTATATCCCAACAAGCAAAATAAACTAAAGGGGATTATTTTTGTAAGTTTACTAAAATAAACATACAGCTTAAGCAGCATTTACATTAGGTGATTTTCTAAGCGATTAAACTCTTTAAGCGATATTGAATCGCTTACAAAATCGCCTCATGTAAATGCTGCTTTACAAAACGATTACTCTTGGTTTTTAAAACGCTTAAAAAAAGCGTAATATAATGGAAACGGCACCTTGTTTATAAGCGCGTGAATATAAATTTATAAGAAATTTAATAAAATTATTTCTTCTGGCTTTTGTCGTAAACATTTGCAGCTTAGTTTTAAGGTTTAGTGATTTATAAATATTCGCCAAAGCACTTATAAAAGCTCCATTTGAAAAACTTAAAACAAACTTAATACTAAAAACGCTGTTAATATAGCAAGCTTGCTTTAAGATACGTTTAAAAATACAGAAATGCTTGTTGGGATGCTATACATAAATATGTATATGCACTTATATCTACATATGTACCAGATATCTGCAGCGGGTGCATAATATTCGTGTATACCCGATCATCTAACAAAACCCGTTTTGCATCATTCTCTGTATACGAGCAGAAGTATTGTTCGTTAGCGACTGAGCTCAAGACGAACATGTTGGCCACAACACCCGATTGGGTTCGGGTGCTTTGCAGCTCAATATACCCGGGTGTTTGAGTTTCAATCCGAGTGTGCACAAAATTTTTATACCCGAGCGCACTTGTGCACAAGGGTACATTAATTTTGTTCACATAACGGTTGTTTGTAACAGCCAAAACGAATAGACAAATGTATACATATATGCTCAGAATAAATAGAGAAATCGATTAAGCCATGTCTGTCTGTCCGTCCGTCTGCCCGTCCGTCCGTGTACACGATAACTCGAGCAAAAATTGAGATATCTCAACGAAATTTGGTATGTAGGTTTCTGTTAATCCAAGGTAGGTTGGTATTGAAAATGGGCGAAATCGGACAGTAACCACGCCCACTTCCCATATAACGGTAATTTCCAGAAATACGAAAACTGCGATATTTTAGTAACTACTGAAGATGATTCACTCAAAATTGATATTTGTAATAATTTTCAGACGAAAAATAAGAATATTATAAATTTTTGGAAAATGGGCGTAGCTACGCCCACTTATGGTTACATGCGTATATCTTGGTAACCGATGCACAGATTTCTTCCAAACTTGGCAAAGTTGTTGGCCTTGATACAGCATACTAAATGGCCGAAAATTAAAAAAATCGGACAATAACCACGCCCACATCACATATAACGGTAATTTTCAGAAATACGAAAACTGCGATATCTTAGTAACTACTGAAGAGTATTCGCTCAGAATTGATATTTGTAATAATTTTCAGACGAAAAATAAGAATATTCTAAATTTTTGGAAAATGGGCGTAGCCACGCCCACTTATGGTTACATGTGTATATCTTGGTAACCGCTGCACCAATTTCTTCCAAACTTGGCACAGTTGTTGGCCTTGATACAGCATACTAAATGGCCGAAAATTTTAAAAATCGGACAATAACCACGCCCACATCCCATATAACGGTAATTTAGAGAAATACAAAATCTTCGATAAATCAGTAACTATTAACGCTAATTTATTCAAAATTGATGCTTGCAACAATTCTTTACCAAGAAATATGTTTATGGTAAAATTTTGGAAAATGGGCGTGGCATCGCCCACTTATGATAACATATACGTATATCGGTAACCGTTATACCAATTTGTACCAAACTCGGTACGGTTATTGTGCTTGCCACATAAAAGCCAATTATTAAAAATTATTGAATCCAGGCTAAAATTACGGCCGCTTTTCATATAACGGTAAATTTCAGAAATGCTTGAAACTGCAATATTTCGAAATTTAAGGACGCTACTCAAAATTGGTACACCCCGGTTTACCATCTAGCGGTAGCTTTCGGAAAGGTGAAAAAACATATATTTAATACTTGCGCCGGGTATTTAATGTTCGGCTCCGCCCGAACTTAGACTTTCTTACTTGTCTTGATTGGCTTATGGCGTTTTCGTTTCTACAAAAAATGTTGCCTTCTCATCGCGCTGTTCTTAGTGTTTGTGCGTAGAGGGCAAAGAGAAGGTTGCATTTTTCGGTAGAAACAAAATCGGCATTAGTGTAGTTTGTGATCGGCTGCGCAGTAGTCTAATTTTTTTTGTGTACTGCTAAGTTTCTTGTTTACTTGCTTACGTACATAATTATTAATAGAAATAATGATCGAAAATGAACATTCTGTTTGTGACAATATTGTGAGTGGCAGCTACACCTTGTCCAGTAAACGCAAAGTAAAAGTACTTATGTACCTACATAGTTTTAGGCTGTGTGTTCTATTATATACATATACACACACAGCATTCCACTCAAAACTATACGAAATAAATGCACAAACATTTTTGTCTACTTCGCTTCTAATTTTTTTCATTGCGTATGCACAAGCACAAAGCAACAACAGTTTCGTATGGTTTGTTGGAACATATTGGCGCCAGTTACCTTCAGCGTAAATTTCATTGTTGTACTGCATTTTATCGCAATGTTCGGGTGTCCGTTTCATTGTTACACAAATTTTCGGGTTAGCTGCGGGTGTCCGAGTGTGGTGTTCGCTTGTGCTCGATTATAGCGAGCGAACACACTCTTTCGTACTCAAAGCAGCTGTCGGGTGTGCATCTCGATCGAACACATATTAGCCGAGTGTGGCGTTCGCTTGTGCTCGATTTTTAGTGAGGGTGATCAAAAAGGTTCGATCATNGTATGGCTAGGTTTGAAAGGGATAATCACAGCCACAGCGCACGGCAGTGCGCGCGAGTGACGAAAGCAGCCACAGTAGCATGCTGAAATGACTCGCTTATATATACACGNATAGCGAGCGAACACACTCTTTCGTACTCAAAGCAGCTGTCGGGTGTGCATCTCGATCGAACACATATTAGCCGAGTGTGGCGTTCGCTTGTGCTCGATTTTTAGTGAGGGTGATCAAAAAGGTTCGATCATACTCAAAGCTGCTCTCTGGTATGTACATACATTCTATATTTACATAAAGACTGGGATACTTA